TAACGGACAAACCTGAGGAAATATCAACAGCCATTACTTTTCCATCGTGTCCAGCCAATATTTTAAGTAAACTCCAATCATCAGCAGACCAAATATTCACAAAACCATCATAACCACAACTTGCCAAATATAATCCGGATACTGTTGGTTTAATACCTCTGGCATCCTCTTCACTGATAAACGCTAATGAAGCGTGAAAAAATTTCACATCAGATACAAGAGATTTATGCGCAGCAATAGTATAGGTGCATCGCAAAGTCCGAATGTCCCAAATGCGTATAGTATTATCCGCGCTTCCAGTAGCAACTTGATAGCTAACAGAAGACTGTTATTTATTTGACCGAAAGCAGCAAAAACGTAGAAGTATTTTGAAAATTCTAACATACCCATTCGGCGAAAAGTCTACGCTCAAAATGTCTTTAACATGCCCTTCTAAGACCATAGCAGATCGTCCCGTCCTTAGATCCCAGACACGTCCAATAGCATCTAATCCACTAAATCAATCGAAATTAATTATTTCAATAACATGTATTTGCAATTTAACATAATTAAATACCCTGTAGCCACTAAAGCGCCGTCATTTTGAAATCGAATTGCATAAACTTCTTTAAAATGTCCTTCTTGAAGTAACAATTCCCCAGTTGTTTCAATATCCCAAAGGCGCCATGAATAATCGAAACTGAAAAAAAAGGTAATTAATGAAAGGTGAATCAAAAACAACCACGGTAAGAAAGCAGTTATAAAACTTAGTAACTACCTTGCTGATCCAATAAATCTTCCTGAGGGATGGAAATCAATCCTACCCACTCTAGACGTATGTCCCCGCAACGTGCCCAATGGCGAATCACTTTCCAAAGACCATAAATTAATTAAACCATCAGCTGCACCCGAAGCTAGGTTTACTACACTCTTGTCTATAGAAAGGGTAGATTGTGGATGCCATGCAACACCACCAATACGATCAGCATGTCCTGTAACATATCAACCATCTTTTTTTAGACGTTTTTATTAAGGACAAATAAAAAAAACTTATGGTAACGGTAAAGAAAGTGACCTTTAAATGTTATCACGGTTTCACAACTTGGTACACTCCATATTCGACACAAACCAGACCAAGAACCAGTAGCAATTAAACTACAATCAGGTGAGAAAACACATTGTGAAATTGGACGATCATCTCCAATTTGTGAGCTAAAGTTCGCATAGGACTAAACAAAACCAGTAATAAATAAAAAATGAAGTAAATGAATCAAAAAAAAAAAAAACCCCCCGAATAATTAACAGCTCTTACCTTTAATCCTGTAAATAGATCTTTTCTCACAGATTTTATCTGGGGTAGTGGTAAATCGTACTCGGCTCGTTGCTTACGAAGACGGTCTCTGGCTCTGAATAAAAAAGTGGTTGGTGCATTGCATTAATATTTTCCTAAAAAATAATTAATTGCATACAGTATATATTGGCAAACCTTGGTAAAGAATATCTCGCAATCCATCGACGAGCTTCCAAAAGTTCTAAAGTCCCTTGAGTGAAAAATTCTTCTTCCCTCTTGATTTTACAAATACGAACTGAGTCCACTATTTCGTCAATATGTTGAACATCTCACAAGAATGAAAAATAACATAAATGATATATGACGTACTTCTTCCTCAGATTCGCTCTCAGTTTCCTCATCTTCATCAGGAACTATTTCAGTACCCTCTAATTTCGATAATAAATATCGCAAACGATCACGCCGATCACCAGGCTGTATTAAAGATCGTTTGATGCGTTAACTAAATTTAAGCATTAGAAGGATGGATTATTCGCAAGTGCAACACTTACACCTTCTCCAAATAAACATTGTGGTTCACCAAGTTCTCTAAGTTTTGCTCTCACGCGACCGTCATCGGTGGGCACAGCTAAAGTCCTTGCACGTTTCTTTCGTTCAAACTCGTCAAGTATTGCCTGATGTTGGAGTTTACTTAAAATATTGGCTGGACACGATGGAAAAGTAATGGCTGTTGATATTTCCTCAGGTTTGTCCGTTA